CTCAACATTCCATTAAGGAAAATAACCATTGATGAAGAATTTTGTGAGTAAGTTAGATTGAGAGTTGAACCAAAGAATGTAAATAGTTGTCTGTGCTTTAACAAAATATTCAATACTAGGGTTCTTTATTATTAAGCATATGTGATTCCTATCATGTACCTTTTTATTTCCATGTACGAAAATTAAGTTAAATTTATATATATATATATAATTTATGATTAATGAATAGTTTTTTTAATAATTTTTGCAAATGTCGTTAGAATACATATTATCTCCAAATCAATGGTTCTTTGCTATCATTACTCAATTTGCAAATCATCAATAACTTAAAGATTTTGTAGAACTTATAGATGGAGACGATCAAGCTTCTTTATTGTGCAGTCACTTTCACGAATTTATCTATGAAAGTATGTATAAAGAACAAAATGAAAAATTTAATAGCAAATAATACACGAGTTTATAATGAGACTTATCAACTGCGGCAAAAATAATGAAGTTTGGGTACGATTAGACAATAATGTGGCTTGTTTTAGCATGCATAAATTTTGTCTAATCACTGGATTACCATGCCATGAAGTTGCTGTTGATCTCAAATTTAGTAATACTCGACTTAGGGGTGAATATTTCAATGGTACAAAAAGAATTATTATGAAAATACTTTCTGAAGTATTCCATATGTATCAAGATCGAGAAGATAAATTTAAGTTAGGATTAGTTATGTTCGTTGAATGCATTTTAAAACCAAATGGAAGGTACATCGATTTTAGAACTCCTGGAATGGTTGAACACTTGATGAGTTTCTTATGTATTCATGGGGACGTAAGGCATACATTGTTTTATTAAATTCATTGCAAGAATCATACCTCGAAAGAGTACGAAGGATACAATAAAATGACCAAACAGATTGTAAATATTCGTTACATGGTTATTCACTTGCATTTCAAGTATTTTTCTTTTATTTTTTTCCCTGTTACATATAATTTAATCATATAAAAACTTTAATATTTCTTTTTACTTTTATTTCAGTATTGAATATATGAAGCTTTTCCTCAAATTGGACGACAATTCGGACGTCGTACCCGTAAAAGCTTACAGTGTCCACGAATGCATAAATGGAAGCCCAAAATAGTATTAACGGAACAAATCATTAAACAATTTTTGGCTACTCAAGAGGTATGACTTATTTCAATTTACAATTAAATATGTGTTTAATTATTCATAAATAAATTTAAAAACATAAATCTAATATTTTATTACAATTATAGATTGAAATAATTGTAGTATTGAATCCTACTGAAGAAGAATTAGAAACATTTTGGTATACAAATATTTTACTACCAGCTGACAACTAACATCGTATACTAGATGACATTGTCAATGGTGAATTCGACAATGTAACACAACAAATTCTAGCTGATAACATACATATACAAGAAACAACTGTAGACACTTCAGCTGGAATTGAATCTACTTCTTCTGGTAGCTCAAACTATGTAACTAAACAAGATATGGATAAGATGTTCAACATCTATAGACAACAAGTAGTGTCAGATGTATTTAGTTTCTATGACAGATTAAAAACACAAATGATTGAAGAATCAACAAAAGAAGAAACTCACTATCATGTAATTCTTGAAAAGTAAGAAGCTCACTGCCAAATGATTCTTGACAAACAAAAATAACTTTTTGAACATCAACAAAAAAATCAACAAGACACTTCCAGGGCATGCAATGTAGCATGCAATCTCATGTGGATACCAGTTTCAGTTTAGCAAAATCTTACATTGATGAACAAAATCAATGTATATAGAGTCAGTTATCTGACTAAAAATCACACATGGAAACGATTGTTAGCTCTATACAACGAGATGTACCTCTTCGTACAAGTCCAATTGAATTCAAAATCCCTTCAACATCTGAACATATTGAAGATGTGGAAAGGTCGATGAAAGAAAAAAAAAGGAAAGCAAAAACAGACACAATCTTCATCAACAATGCCAATTAATACTTTAGAAGATTATAACATCGACAAGTACAAAAACATTAGAAAATGGATATTACAAAATTCATTAGGGTAAGATATTTAATTTTACCTTGTTAACTTCAATATTATAATTTGTATTTTACTCTTTTAACACTAATTTAAATTCTCTTATACATCGTATATTGGAATAATGGAATCGGCAATCTATACGGAAGACAATCGCTAAAAAATATACTAAATGAAATGAAAAATATAAATATTGTGGTTAGTAAAATTTAGTAATCATAATTCATTTTTCTCCATTATTAATATATTTAATTTACATTTTTTTTACTAGCATATTGATATAGAATTAAAGCTATTGAGAAGACTTGTTACCGACGGTTCTTCCCTGCTTTCTAAAAAATATGCAATCATGGACATTAGATTCGAAACTGAATGTGTTCATTTGTATACAAATATGAAAGAAGGAATTGACCATTCTACAACTAATTTCATCGCATTATAACAATACATAAAAAGGAGAATTGCCTGTATTTGCTTGACTGTGAATAACATACAACTATTTATTAATTCCATCAGCATATCCAAGCAACACTTGGTTTCTCTTTCTTGTTGATTTTCGAAAGTGAAAATTTTATATATATGATTGCAACTACAACATTCATACATCGGAAGAAATCAGAGCACGTGCGGAACCAGTATTAACTATAGTGGAATCATTATTAATCTCTGCAGATTTTTTTTCAGCAAACCAAGTTTAAGAAAACATAGAAATAAACATATGGATTGGAAATCATATCGTATCTACCTTGTCAAAAGAAAGGGTAAGCATCTCAACAATTTACTATAATATTTAATTTTCTATTTAATTTAATGTTATATTTACATACAGTATTAGTATAATATAATTTCAAACTATATTTTCTATAGGCCAAATTCTAGAGTTTATAGTTTTCCTTCTCAAATACATAGAATGCTTCGTTTTCGAATATCCATTTTCACCAAAGAAGATAAGTTTATATAGACAAAAAATTGCAACAGATATCTGTCACAGTGAATATTTTTTACGTCCCTGTTTATCCTAATTCTAACGAATCATCAAAATACAGTAAGATTCTTAAAATACAATAAGATTCATTTATCAAAATTCTATTTATACTTTTATATTCATAACTTTAAAATTGTTTATTTTAAATATTTCTGTACATGAGAATAAATGTAGGTAGTTCGATAAAAAATATGAAACACTACTTAACACATGAGATTTCAAAGTGTCGGAGTCAGATTTTATAAAGGAGAAAATTATTGTATTTTGATGACAGTTAGCATCAATAATTTCTCAACAAGGTTGGTAAATCTATTAAACCGTTCTATAATTTTAATGTTATACTTTTTTAACTTTTTCCATTACACATTTATCTATTGCATTAATTGACACTTTTGTAGTTTTAATTGCTTCTAAAGTTAAGTTTTACTTGTTTATTATTCACGCATTTTAGGATAATTTACAATAATTATTGATCTTTTGTTTAATTTTTCTTTTTTGTTATTCAATATTATGTTTCAACTTTCATACATGTTCTGCTTTTGGATCAATTTCTTTCTTCACAACCAAATCAAACCTTAAAAGGAAAAATTATATTATAATCTCCTATGTATACATTCAAAGGTTTGGCTTCAGTTTGCTTATATTCTTATGATTTATACATTTATGACATGTTTGGCTGGATAATGTATACCAAACATGCGCTTTTAATTTTTGATTGGATTTTGGTTTTGTATTCTTTTATTTCCCTTCTACTTGATTTATCCATTCATTTACTTTTACAGTTGTCATATTGTGATAGCTTGGAAGGAAGAAAACCAATTTTTTTTTTCTTTACAGCAGGAAGAATACGGAATTTTTCGTTATAAGATTATAGATTGATATTTGGTCGAACACTAGAACTTGCTTAATTAGTATGTTACCCAATTCTTGGATTAAATTTTAATTAAACTAATGATAATATTTTGAGCTTTTCCAGTCTAAACCTAATAATGTGGCTTTCCCTTTCATACCAGTGCCCTGAAGTGTGTGTTAAGTATTTTACGAATCCTTGATATAATTTTTTAATTATCTTTTCATTGAAAGTTATATGCTTGAATTTGAGCCTGATATTTTCAAATATTTATCCAACTTTGGTGACAAAAAAGATAGAGATCAAAGGCATTTGAATCTGATGTGGGAGTAAGTGAAAATCAGCAGCCACAACCAAAGATACAACTATATCCCACCTCAACAGGTGGAATATCCTCATTCTGGAAAGGTCTCTCTAAATTTCTCCTTGAAGAGAATGTTAAAGCATTTCATAGGATTATGTAAGTTCTAATACCAGTTAGTTTAAAATAGTATAACGCTTGACATGTTTTTGTATGACTCAGAATTCATCCAAGAATTTTGGTTAATGTGAGCAGTAGATATGTCAACAACTATCATTGGTTACAACACATTGGCATAACCTGAAGGTTTATTTATACTTACTTGTAATAATATGTTTGATTGATTATTAAAGCTAGATTCAAACTTGAGTGTGTTTATTATAGAAGATAATGCAACAACCAGAACAGTTGCTACCTGTGACACAGTAATGGTAATACCTAAAAGAAGTTTTATTGTATTTTAACTTTCATCGGTGCTCAAATTTTAATAGTAGCCTAAAATTATAGGCATTGTCCTTCATGTCAATGTACACGATGGAGGAGGTTGCTTCCATCTGTGATGCTATTCGCGTCTTCCAATTCCTTATCCCTCAGTGCTCTTAATTTCAAAAACATGTTTATCTGAATTCACATTTCTGACAGATTTAACAAAATTGTTATCTCTCTCACAATAAGTATTTAATTGAAGGATGCTTTCGTTTCTTCTTTTATTTATTTGATTAAAATATGTTGATTATATTATTCATTTTGAAATGAAGACGTAGAGGTTTATAAAGAGGCCTTATCCTATTGGAATCTTGCATTGAAACTTCCTTAAAGAGAGAAAATTTCATAATTATAAATTTATAATAGTTTAAGAATACAATTTCGAAATAAACAAACTTTAAAAATGAATAAATAAATAAAAATCTCTAAAATCTTGTGACGTGTTCTGATAAATGATTGTGATCTATAAATTATGTGATTGTGACTTAGTATAATGTCTTATTGAGATTTTTTTTTGTTGGGTCCGAGCCCTCTTCTGAGAACAGTGTCCTACCCAGGCCCAAAAGAACTACTCTTCGGGCCCATTTTACATGTCCACTAATTTGAAGAATTTATAGATGCACCCTGTGCAATTTTCGTATGTTCTTCCCGCTCTTCGCTGCAAATTTCAGGCTACAATTTACTGGAAATATGCTCTCAGGTCTCTTTCTTTCTGTCTATGCATATATAACACACACACACACTTGAATTTGTAGATCGCTCCTTGCATTAATGAAATATATACATTTATGATTGGCTGCACTATACATGCTTGTTGGAATGCCTCAAAGAAGAAGAACTAATCTTGATTTCATTTTCTTTTGGCAAAATTACGCGTCTGGAACGTTTCTCGCAAAATAAGTTCAGATTCTATGAGCGCTATCGTTGTGGTGGACTGGTTAATACACACACATGTTAAAAATCCAATCTTTCATGTATGAATACAGGTGTTCAACTTCAAACTGAAGTCTGTAGGATGCCCGTATATCTTGGCATACCGCAGACTTCAACTGTAAAATGTTGGGGTAAGTTTCATTGAATCAAGTATATGTGGAATTTGTATATCGATACCATGTTGCCTTTTGAGTTTTAATGTGCTGTATTATATCTGAATCTTTTTCTATTTTGTTTGATCTTTCTATATTGCCTTTTTTGTTCCTTTTTTATGGTCTTCACCATTACTGCAATCACACCACCACCAACACCATCATCGCAAACACAGCACCAAACACATATTGTGTACACCACCACACACATGTACACACTATCACATAAAAATCCGCATCACATATTTAGCCTTCAACTGTCACCAAAGCCTTTGAACCCATCCATCACCATCGATGAAAAAAATCTCCCCAACACCTACTCACCTTTGATTGGAGGCTCATGTAGGCCCACATCCTAAAATCAGCAAGAACTATTTACAAGTTCGTATTTTTCCAGGGGATCAAATGTTGTAAAGATATTAGATACACTTGTTCAGTTTTATCCAGATGTCATACTACCAATATTAGACAAACTTTAACTATTTAAATATTTTTCATGTAAGGTGCAATAAAGAACTTTTGACAGTAGTATTAAAAAGAAATTTCTTCTGTCCCCTCTTTCATCACTTTAAGCCATGTATTTGCTTTTCAGTGGCCCACAACTAAATTGTTAATTCTTGTTATTCCCAATTCATCCTATTCTTCCGTTACGCCAGTAGTTCTCAAGTTATTATACATGATTGTGCTATTTGAATGTTCAGCCAAGCTTTTTTGTCCTGGGCATTTTCATTGTCAAATATGGTTGTTTTTAAGGCTTGAACAAAGAACAACATAATACTGTGCAAAATACTTATTTATATCTATATTTCTTTAGGAAACAAAATCTCCATTCTTCTTTGTATGATAGTTATCGTCAAAAGCTTTGACAGTTCTTGAACCAGCAAGCATCAGAACCAACAAGCATTAATGATGCTTGTGTCATCAGATAGCTGTTCATACAATTAATGCCTTATTGTTGATTGATTCAAATGCATTACTGTGCTGAATCCTGACCAATAGAGTATGGCTTCTATTACACATTTAGTGAATTTGAAGCAATTAAAAGGTTAAATCTTTCCCTTACTCTTGCTTATCTTTTTTTTTTATTATTATTATTATTATTATTATTATTATTATTTTCATTTAAGGATACCACTACAAAAGTTGTTGCTTGTGAAGTTAATCTTGATGAAACGAATGTTTCAAAACTCATAACAAAAGTATTGTTTTGAACTGCTTTCAATATTTCATATCCAATGTTAACATATTTTCTACTTTTCTTCGTATAATTAGCTCTCTATCTTTACTTTTTTTTGTCAGACTTCCTTATGAACCAACTAAATGCTTTCTTCGCTTCCCAAAAATTCATTCAATGTAATTTTCTTTCGTGAATATTCAATACTCAAGTAAGTCAACACACTAATATCACCTTCAAGAAAATTCAAGGCATGACCAGAAACTAAAAAAATGTCACTCCATTTGAATTCCACGCGTACGTCAAAACTAACGACTTGCCAATGTATCAACCAATTACTCATGCCCGCTAGTCTAAAATTGCACTGAAGGTCATAGCCTTTCATCATACTTGTAACTAGGTCACAAAAGTTTTACCATACTTGTAACTAGGTCGGTGAACTTCAATTTGATGCCATCAATCTTATGTAGATTAATTTATGAGCAATCTGTTAGGTTGTGTGCCCATATAGTATATTTTGTTATGATAAAATAATCATTTATTATAAATAAATTGTGGTTTTATTTATTTATTGTATTATTTATTATTGAGTATGCAAATTAAAGTGCCTATGATCACTTGAGATAATATAAGTTGGGTACTTGTGCTGAGAAGTACAATGTGACACAACTTATATTTTGTTCATAAATAATTTGTTCACAACCAATGTATAACGGTTGGCACCTTGTATTGGAAGGTTGTAGTGTTGACCATTTCACTATTCGGGTTTGTGATTTGTCCTTATCATAGAAATAGTAAAAGGTGACACTAGTACACTTGGAGTGTATTGAACGGACCACGTGTTGAATTTAATTCTATAGTATGACCGTGCAGAGAATTAAATTTCACTAGACCGCTGGGTATTTCATCTAAATCCCTTGACAGGATTATATATATCTTTTCGTGATTTTAATTGTTCTTTGATTCATCAATGGGTTAGATCAATTTGATTGGTCAAATATCTCGATGAGTTGGGAATTTGAAAATGAGCGGAGTAGAGAACATGAATTCATGTCGGGAACCGTCACCCTAAATTATGGGTAGAGTGACTATTTAAGTATTTTCTGTTGAACGGTTAAAATCTGAGCTCAGTGTTTAGCGACGGCTAAACTTCGACATCTGTGATTGGTTCACAGGACCGTTGAAGAAAATGAAACTTAAGTTAGCGAAAATAATTAGAGGGGCAAAACGGTCATTTATGCTCGTACCTAATTATCGGATCTCGGACGGGGATAAAATACATGTACAGCAGGTCAGAGGAAAGTATTACATATTTATTAGCTTTTATGATCTTATATATTCCTAGAGTTCAGTCTTTTGCCTTTAGTGGAAAAAGCAAAGACTAATAATTAGATTGGGTGGTCTAGGGTCGACTAGACAGGATTTAATTATTGGAGTTTGGATAATATATGTCCAATCAGGTTCCTGTGGTAGCTCTATGAAGTATTGGAACTTAATTACGGTAATTATAATAATTTTGGGCTTAATTGTAATTACAATAAAGTTTTGTACTTAGTTGTAATTACTACGAAAGTTGTAAACTTAATTATAATTGTAATTAAAGTTAAAGGACTACACATGTAATTAAAAGTAAACTAATTGGATTTGGACTAGAACTCCTATTTGAATGTGGAATTATTGATGTATAAGGATTGGAACTCTTTGGTCTCTATATATATAGAGATTATATGGATCCTAGACATTAGAAAGGAATAGAATTGTACAACATTCATAATTCCATGGTGTTCAATTTTTGGGGAGAGAAAAATAGAGAGAAAATTGTTTTTCTTGAATTTTCAACTGTTCGGTTCAAGAATTGGTTTCTTGATTTAATTAAAAGAAGGTGCCCACCTACCGATGTAGTCTTGACTTTGGAGAATGCCACAGAAGACTTGGAGGTTGGAAGCATCAAGTTCTTGGAATTAAAAAGCTGGAAGTTCGTGATCCAAAAGGCTGGAAATTCGTGATTCAGAATTAATTCAAGAATTGATCGTCTAATTTAAGTAAAAATTCGAATTCATTATTTTTGATATAATATGCACGTGAATATCTAGAAGATCTTGTTTTTGAATTAAAGAAATTTTTAATTTCTGACTAATTCCGCTTCCGCATTCCAACACAATCAAGTCACCTGTTTAGAGGAGAAAAGGCTGAAAATTGTAGGAATTCTTCCACGGTTGTAACTGATGCAACTAAGGTGGTTTCGATCAATCATAATTTTAACATTGGGTCCCAATTTTCCTAGATGCAAAAAATGTGAGGCATCCCATGTTCTTATTCATAAATCTTTTCAAAAAAATTTCTACCCTCCAAATTATTTTATAACTCAATATTATTTTCTATATTGTATGTTGTAGGTATCAAATTTATTAAAGAAAGTTAATATGTTGCAAATATAATTAAGCAAATGAGGGGTGGAAACTCTCCTTCATATGGAATGTGTAGTGTTCTAGTGTCGCTAAAGTAAATCGATTCGACCACTAAATTAATTTTTCTTAAATTAATCCACACTTATAAGCTCATTAGCGGAACTCAAAAGGAGTGGCCTAATTGCTCTTAAAATGAAAGTACTATAAAATGATTGCACCAAAATTGAAGTTTAATATCTAAGTGCAAGTATGGTGAAGGTTCATTGACCTCCATTGCAATTTTAGGGAGCTAAGTTTCTCTATTTATATTCTTTATTTTCATTTGTAACAAAAAGATTTTGTGGGACAATAGAAAGAAAAGGTGATTTCATGGGAAGTCTGGTAAATAATTGCCAACTTATTAAAGCTTATTTTCCAAATAAATAATTCATTGTAATTCAATGAGTTTTCTTTTGAGCTAAATTATAAGCCATTAAAACTTGATTTTGAAGCTAGTAATTTACTGTGGATAAAATTGTTGGTAAAAAACAAATTATTATAATTTTTGGTAAACTAAAAAAATTATAGTACGAGTTCCTTTTTTCTTTTTTCTTTTTTTAATTGCCCCTTTCAGACTTTCTTATTGTGGTTCCCTTGGACGTTAATGATCATAGAATCTCCATAGATAAATAAAATCGAGATATTGGAGCAAGCTTAGCAACCCTAAAATAAAGTATTCACTCGTAATCATATATTAAATTCTATTTGATGAGTGATTACTTAACCAACACGATAGATCGAATTACTTAACATGCATACATAGTGACTGCGTGTGGGCAATTCTTCAGAATGTAGTGCGATTTATTCCAATATATCTGCGATACTTTACCTTTAATTGATCGTGATAGATTTGTTGTTCTCATTATAGTTCTTTTAGAATCAATAGCATTGCACTAGTGATCAATGAACAATAAACTAATTTTTAGTCATATTCAATCTTGTTTAGTGTGAGTACCCTTATCGAGAAAATGGCAATGACATGGGTAGTGTCTTGACTGATGCCATGTCATGGTCGAAGGTGTGCGGGATGTTCGGATAATGCACAAATTTGAGAAGGAATGAAGCAAGACATCGAGTTGGTTTTGTGATGCAACAGTAATCAAGGCATGACGATACTGAATTTACTTGATGTTAGGATCACATGAACAAATTTGGGAAGCACGTCAGATTGGAATTGATCGATGAGTTGATACGAGCATGTATTCGACAACGTGGAGACTTTGATGTTTAGTTGACTTCAGTCCA